TCAACTGCCTCCCTGCATGTTGGGGCTGTGAAGCCAGGACTGAATTTAACTTTCTGACAACCGTGGGTGAGCCGCATCTGGGCCTGTTTACCTCTGCAGGTGGGAAGATCCCAGTTGGGGTCTTGCTTTGCCCTCCCACATGCAGCTGACCTGTGTGGACTTCTCCGTGGGTTTGGATTGGTCCTTCTGTCTATAAACGCTCTTTCAGATTCAAAATCCCACTCACCTTTATAAAGCCACTTAGAATTCATGACACCTGTCCATTCCCAAATAAGATTATTCCTTCTGTGTCATACCACCCTGCTATTCAGTTCCTCGTTTAACAGCAGCGACCTTGTCAGATGCTGGTCTAAGAGGTGGGGCAGTGAACCCAAGGAGGTTTACTCCTAGAGGAGGAAAACTGATGTTTTAAATCTGAAAGTGTCTGGTGATGCAGTTATAGTGTCCAAATCTGGAAGGAAAGAAGAGAGTTCTGACATAGGCAGAAGTGATTAGGAGAGGCCTCGTGGAGAAGGTGACATAGTTTCTCCACGGTGGGGGTAGGATCACGCTGCTTGTGCCTTCCTGTGTTCTTATTAAGATTCCTTCCATGCTTCTGTGTAAGAGAATGTTCTTTGAGGGCACGGGTTTTTAATCCGTCTTTGTATTGCTTAACACAAGGCCTTCAAGGATCAAGGTACTTAATGGAGTGGTGAATGAGGAAACAAACTAATTTGAGCTGAAGTGTTTTGGGGTGGATGATGTCTTGGTAAAAATGTATTCTGTGTCCCAGAGGAACCTAGTGGGCAGCTTTGCCTTGGCACCCCAAAGGCGCTCAGTGAATGCCACTTGATTTGTAATGAGGTTGGTGGCAGACCCACTGGGGAAATTCAAGGCAGCTGCACTTCAGAAGAATCATCACCTACTAGAACAGCCTCCCTGTGGCAGCCCGCAGGCTTGTTTCTTCTGCCGTCCACCCATACCGGCTGCCCACGCCCTACAGAACACGTCTCCCATGCTGAACAGGATGGCCTGCAGCAGAGGTGGTGTGGACAGACCACTGAGTCAATTACCTTGGTTATATGCAGACTCATAGGTCTCACCTCAGACCTACGGAATCAGTCTTGGGGTAAAACCAGGGAACCTGCAACTTTAACAAGATCACCTTGATTCTCAGACACTTGAGATTTGGATGGGATGGACTCCTGACATAAAGTTTAAACCAGTGATTTTCAGCACTGGGTGTGCATTATAATCACTTGGGGTCTTAAAAAATATCAGTGCCTGGACCCGAATTCTGGAAGAGGCAGCCCTGCTTAGTTTGAACTGGATGTGTTTTCTGACATAATTAGTAAGAGTTACATTTCATTGCATGTAAACAACCTGCTCATGTGCAGTGGCTAAGCCTGGTTGCCAAGAGCAGACCTGGGAGAATGTTTCTCCACCTGCCAGGCAGTGCCGAGGCCTCCGATCCAACCTGAGGACTGGCTCCTTGCCAAGCAGAAACTAGATGGGTATTAATGCCATCTGTCTGGAGAGCTGACCGGCTGTTTTTGTGTTACTTAGGATCAGTGGCCAGTGTTGGTCTGGAGATCCTGATAATGGTTTGAGTGCTTAGCAAGACAGTGCCAGCCCCTCATCAGTGTGTGGCTGAAGCTTTGAGGCAGTGGGATTGCGTGGCTAGGCCTTTTCAGACAAGACAATCCCTTATTGTAGAGGGAGCTACCCTCCGGGTGTCTGGGCACTAGAAAAAGAGAACACATCAGTGGTGTTTCTCTGTCATTCCCAGGAGGGGACATTGCACAGCAGGATGTTTTCTTATGATGAGAATGGCTGGACCCAGTGCTATATGTAAGGTTAGTAACCACACTCACCTTAGGTTTGGCTCTAAAGGTTACAGTGGCTCCAGCAAGATGGCAGATTGAGGTA